CAGCTGCAGCCACACCCACTTTGATACAAGATGGCTACCATTAGACAATTGCTATCAATTGGCTCCAGATTTACTCCTTTACGTATCTCTAGTACAACCACCACCCGCCATTATGCGTCATTAATAAAAAGGATTAAAGATAAAAGGAATCAAGCTCATTTAGGAGGAGGAGAAGAAAAAATTAGCAAACAACACAAAGGGGTAAATGAAAAAATATAAATTTAAAAATAATATTTGTTGTTGTTTGATTGCAGGGTAAGCTGACAGGGAGAGAGAGGGTCCAGTTATTATTAGATGATGATTCATTCATTGAATATGATTCATTTGTTGAACACACTTGCACTGACTTTGATATGAATACTCGGAAAAATAAGGTAATTAATTATGGTGGGTGTGGTTTTTATATTTTGTTATTAATAGATACCTGGTGACGGTGTGATAACTGGTCAAGGATTAATTAATGGGCGACCTGTTTTTGTATTTAGTCAAGTAATGAGTTAATTTATTATCATTATTATTATTATTATTATTATTATTATTATTATTATTATTATTAATAGGATTTCACGGTATTTGGTGGTAGTCTGTCAAGTATGCATGCTCGTAAGATATGTAAGGTAATAATAATAATAATGAATATTAACAATAATTTTAATAACTGTTATTATTATTATTATTATTATTATTATTATTATTATTATTGTTATTATTATTATTAATAGATAATGGATAAGGCAGTATCAGTAGGTGCTCCCATTATTGGTCTCAATGACTCCGGAGGGGCCAGGATACAAGAAGAGGTAGACTCACTAGCTGGATACGCTGATATATTCCTGGTTAGTGTATTAGTATTAGTATTTATTTATTTGTTTGTTTATTTATTAATAGCGTAATGTGATGTCATCAGGAGTAGTCCCACAGATATCATTAATAATGGGACCGTGTGCAGGTAAAGTATAGCCTCTCTTAATGGACACTCTCTATAGCGTACACCTCCATTTAATGGACAGCACCTAGTGTACCAATTACATTCCTTACTGTATAAAATAACCTCCACATAAAGGACACCTCTGTATAACAGAGACACTTTCAAAGTGTCCATTATATAGAGGCTAGTCTGTACATGTATTTGTATTTGACCTATCAGATTGCTTGATTTATATGGTTTACATGTACTTAATTTATTATTATTATTATTATTATTATTATTATTATTATTATTATTTATAGATACCTGGTGATGCTGTTATAACTGGTCAAGGATTAATTAATAGACGTCCTGTCTTTGTATTTACAATGTAGTTGAGTAATGAATAATTATTTATTATTATTTTTATTTTTTATTTATATTTAATTTAGTGGTTAGTACTGAAGTAGTTAGTACTGAAGTTAGTACTGAAGTTAGTCCATCAGTATCAATAGGTAAAAATGAAGGTAAGAATAAAATTAAAGTAAAGTTGTTTTGATTTTATTGTTATTAGTAGCTCAAGAAGTAATTATTGATGATGATCCAGCATATGGTCAAGGTATACATGTATGAACAAAACAAATTTATTTATTTATTTTTATTGATTGTCTAGTTGAGAATACCATCAGGTCTAATGTCCAATTACTAACTGAAGTTGATCCAGCATACAGTACATGTAATGCTGTTACTGGACACAGTAATAGTAATGATGATGATGATGTAGTATATGAAGCTGTGTTTTAAATCATGTTTTTATATTAAACAATTATTATAAACTGAATGAGGACACTACGTGTGGACAAGTAGTGATCATGTTGACATTGTGGCCATGAATGTACTTCCATTCAGTTCTTGGAGGATTGCAATAATTACATGAACTGACATACAACAAACTATTGTTACCATACAACACATGGTACATGTGTAATATGGTATTGGGTGCTGTTTTAAATAGCTGTAACTAGGAAAATGAAGTCGGAATAAGCTCAAGCTCTTTACACAGCATAAGGACATCAATATGTATTAGAAAATGCAATTAAAATTTGGCATGATTTTGGAGCCATTTTTTGGAAAAAATCATGGACTAGAGCCTTGGGTAATTTTTGGAATTTTGGCCCTTTCAAAAATGGTCGTAACTTGAAAAAATGAAGTCAGAGTCAGCTCAAACTTGCTATACAGTATAAGGACATCAATATGTATCAGAAAATGTAATAAAATTTTGGGTTGGTTTCAGAGCCATTTTTTGGAAAAAACCATGGAAGTCCACAATAAGGTGCTTGAGAAGTTCTCGTTCCTCATATTCCAGCCCACCATCCCAGCCCTGTCTGGAGGACATGTCTCGTATCATCTCTGATGCAAGGCTTTCTATTTAAACTATATCATATACCCACTATTATTATTATTATCATATTATTATCATTACCATTGTACTATGCGTTTAGTTCTTCTGTTATTTTATTATTAGGCTAATGTATTATTATTATGCTCCTTTGTGTAAATTACCATATCTTTTTCAATGAGATTTGAGGGTGATGACCCAATTTAAATGGACTATGGCCTTGTGTATTTTTCAGGATTTTGGCGTTTTCTTAAAATTGTCGTAACTTGAAAATTTGAAGTCGGAATCAGTTCAAACTTGCTACACAGCATAAGGACATTAATATGTATCAGAAAATTAAAAAAATAAATTATTATTGTGATAATAATTTTTGAAATAACGTGTTACATTCTTTCACAATATCAGCATGTACTAATGAAATCAGTTTCAATTGTAGTTTATTATAACTGGTAGTGGAGT